CTTTTGTCTAAATCAACTTTAAAAAACACAATGCCTGTGAAGGACATGATAGGAGCTTATATAAATATAAGCCGTTTATCTCACATTCCCTTAAGTATAAGGAAGAACCTCAAAGTTTCAGATTCGTATTTCCTACTTCTTTTTCATAAAAGCCCTTCTGAGTGTTGGGCTTGAAATATCCCAGTGCCACAAAAACTGTTAACCTCTTCCTTTAGCACTTTTAAACATGAAAAGACTTCTCTAAACATGATACTGAGGAGGTTACAAGCTCTGAAAAACCAAAATCAAAATTTTACTCAGAAGAAAGGAAACTCAGCTGACTATTTCAAAATGTAAATGCACTGAGAGCACTGACTGCATGCACACATGTCCAGACAGCCAGGTCAGCAGGCCAAAGCGTGCAGCAAGTTCTCCATCTGCCTTGACACTTATCCTGCTTACCTGGAGTGACAGTGGTCCTCACCCCACTTTACCTTTGGTTTTTTGTGTGCTGGTATTGAAACAAGGCAGACTGCACTCAGACACTAGTGATACTCTAGCCAGAGCTATCTCAGCTATGTTAGGTCACAAAAAAGTTTTACAGCTTAAACAGGCCCTTTAAAGTCACTGAACTAGAATGCAAGTAGTGCAAAATGCTATCTCAAGTCCACTAAAGTATTTTAAAGCTTTTATTGTCATCAACAGCTATCAGTAAATAATAAATTTATCTTACACAGCTGTACCTTTCTTTATATTATGGATGGGATACTCATTCTGAGATACTCAGTGATGCCAGAGCAAGGAAGGGTTAAACAGCACCCTTTTAAAAAGTGAGTCTGGTTCAAAGGAAGTAAGATGCAGTGAAGTTCTACAGACAAATCTGATTGCAGTGAAGTTAATACACTGAGTAGGGGCACAGAAGTAGGCTAAACAGCGAGAAAAGGAAAAAAAAAACAGAGTGAAGAAGATGGCAAACTTTCTTGGGCTCCTGACCTTTCAGAGTAAGTATTAAATAAAACCAATCTGTTTAATTCTCAGACAAGAACTTTCAACAATAACATTCCTTGGGTGTGCAAACAAGAAAAATCCTGGCCAGCAAAGCCTAAGAAGATTAGCATACAGTTTTTAAGGGTCCATTAAGTCCTTTCAACCACAGTCTCCCCCACAATTCAAAACTGAGTTGTCCTAGACTCAGCATCACCTTTGAAAGAAAACACGTCTTTTCCTTGAAGCTGAGTTTGCCAGAAATCCCTCTGCTCCTCTAGCACGGCCTCAGGACCAAGCAGAATAGCTGAGGCAGCCATATAGTTCACCACAGGAATGCAATAACACGTGCACCAGGTATGCAGATATCACCCAGCTCTGAGGAGCTCAAGAGTGAAGTACCTCAAGACAGGAAGAGCACCAGTACAACCACACGTGGTATCTAAAGCCCAGCAGAACACCACATATACACAGGTATTTTCTGAAAATCTGTTACTACTTCAGCTTCAAACAGCAACAGTAATGGAGATGCCAGAAAACAGAGCAGCCAGAGTATCCATGAGCACTCAAACCACCACTGCCACCCTCTCCACTACTGGGAATGATGCAACAACCAAGTGGAAACAGAGTGTTACTTATGAAGACAAGGAAGATTTTTCCAGGCACATCTAACCCTAATTGGAATGTGCAATTGTTCTTTTGCGGGATTAGAAGAATCCAGAAATCAAACAACCACACCCAAAGGATCTTAAACTGGAAGAAATGAAAGGCAGAGTCCACATGATTTGGAGACAGATGGCAAATCCCAAAACCTCGGGAACCAATGCAACTAGTGAAAAAATGTATGGAATATGACACACCACAAATGACACACCACAAATACCAGAAATGGCTGTAGTATATATAAGAATAGTGTTTTCCTAATAAAAGAATCTGCTATCAGAAATCCTGCATAAACTAGTTGCTTCCAACATCCTAAGTGTAGTTCTTGCTTCCACCTGATGTTGCAATTCCACAGCTCAGGGAATGAGCCAGCAACTCTTTTTCACAATACTACTACTCTCTCAAGTCAGATTTTCCATAAACCAATTCTGAAACACGTATTCTCTAAAGCTCTTCAAATAAAAAGTCTCACACTAGGAGAGGGGGAAAAAATGTATGATGACAACTCATAATTTAGCCATTTCTAAGAAACCTGAAAATTAGCTGAAAAGAGATATGAGCATAAGGAATGTAAAAGCAGGTTAGCAGAGCCAATTATGATCAGCTGGGAGAAACTAAATATATGATGGGTAATACGTTAATGGTTCTTGAGACAAAACATTACAATGGCATTTGTTGGGACATCTGATTCTATTTTATTTTTTTAACTAGTAAGGCAGCTCATTAGCTCAATACCATTTGGCAAATATCTGATGAATACACAAGTAGTTCTTTTCACGTTTTCCTATCCCCCCTATACTGCCTTCAGTAGCTCTCTCCCCACGTTTTCTTCCTTAGACTTCCAGCTCTCTCTCCTCCCTTCCTCCACACAACCTCCTTCTCCGTATAACTTGTTTCTTCCCGGGATGGATTTTCACCCCCAGGTGCCTCGCTGCTGCAGCACCTGCGTGCCCGTGCACAACCCCCGTGCCTCGGCTGAGCAGGACCCAACTGCAGCGTCCCCACACCGCTCACCTGTGCACAGCTGGTTCCACTTCACCCACAGCACCTGCGCTCACCCGCTCTCCGCTGAGGAACAGCGGAAACACTGCTGTGCAAACACGCGACAGAGCTGCCAGCCTGCAGAAAGCGTGTCCGTGGCCTCCTCCCCAGCGCACCCCGCTCCCGAGCCGCCAGACACCGTTATTGTTGTTACCGCACGGCCCCGAGTACCGCGGCCGGCAGAGCCCTGCTCCGGTCCCTCGGGAGCTCGTTCCCAGTCTCCCAGGCAGGCACCCACCCGCCGGTTCCCCCCTCCAGGCATTTTCCTGCCGGAAGCCCCGCACACGAGGCGCGGCGGTGTCCCCTCCGCGACCCGGGCACAGGGACACCGCGCGCAGGCGGAGACCGGGACCCGCCGGCCCCGGCGCGGCCCCCCCGCCGGCCCGGGCCGGGGCTCCGGCACCGCAGCCCCCGCTCTGCCCCAGGGCAGCGCCGGCACCGCAGGCTCCGCTCCCCCGGAGCGCCCTCGGGCTCCGCCACCAGCCCCGTCCCGCCCTGCTCCCCGCCATCCCTCCGTGCCCACACCGGCAGCCGCCGCCGCCGCGACCCCGTCCCGCCGCTCACCCAGAAGGGCTCGGAGGCGTCGGCGCTGCAGAAGCTCTCGATCCCCATGGGGCGAGGCGTCCGCGGACTCCCGCGGCAGCGCTTCCCCGTGCGCAGCTCTCCGTGCCCGGGCGGCGGCGGGGCCGGGCCGGCAGCGCCAGCGCGGGGCCCTGATTGGCTCCGCGTCACCGATGCCGAGCCCGGCGCCGCCGCCGCCCGCGCTGCGCGGCCCCGCCTCGGCCGGCACGGGGGCGGCCCCGGCCCCGCGGGGTGTCCATCGTCCCGCGGCCCCGGCCGGGCTGGAGGGCGGCTCCAGGAGGCTCGGCCGGAGCCCAACACGTGCCTTTGTTCAACCCAGACATCCCCCGCGTACCGCGGCGGAATCACCGCCCCCTGCGGCACCGCAGCCGCGCCTGCCTGCCCGGTTCTCCTGCGCCCTGCCTGCCCGGGTCTCATACCCCCTGCAGCCTCCCGGCTCCCGGCCGCACCACACCTGACCCTCGGACTCGACCGCAGCCCCTGGCGGGGCATCACGGCATCCCCCTCCACGCGGCATCGCTCCGGCCCCCAGGTACAGGGACCCCACGTACCCCCCCAGCAGAGGCACCGAGGGACCCTGCCGACCCCAGGGCCCCGCAGGACTGAGCCAAGGCATCGTCCTCGGGGAAGGCCACAGCGAAAGCCTGCGCTCACTTTCAAACAGCTCACTTTTCAACGTGAACCAGTTATACTGGTTTCTAAGCCCTGAACTAGTTCAAGTTGATTAGCACGAACTGACCCAAACCAACTCCATCCACAAACAGGTTTGCACCAAAATATATACTAGTCGAACTAACTGCACTGCCACGTAGTTGCACTGGGTTGTGTCTCAAGGTGCACTCTTCACATCTTACTTAAAATGCATTGGTTAAACCCACAGACAGCTTCAGTGCTCGGCTGACTATCTACTGTAGTAGAATTGACCAGCTGGAATGTGGTGGCACAGATGTAGCAATGGCATCCTATGCTGCAGCAAAGAGCAGTGTGGTTACATACTACCCTACAGTAACATCTGAAAGCTTTAATCACATGAGTTACATAAAGAACCTCTCAATTTAATTTTTTTTTTCTTTTCAGAGCAATTATGGTAACGGACAAAGAAAGAGATAGGTCTCATTTGTCTAACATGTAATTAAAAAGCAGGTATCACAAATAAGAAAAACATATCACAGCCTGCTTCTTTACTCACCTGCACACTTTCACTGCAGTTTCAGAACTGTGCTGGTGGTGGCCAGATTATTTATCTGACTGCAGCATTTCTGGTCTTGTCCCCCAGCTCTCTCACTCCCGGGGTATCCAGGGGCAGCAGCACCGGAGTTCAGGCCTCACCAAAGTCTCATCTGCATTGATGAACTGAGCAGAATCATCAAGAAAAGTCAAACCAAACAAATCAGGAGCCAGAAGCTATACAAGTTTGTGTCAGTTTAACCCCTACCTTAGTTTATACCATGTTAAAATCTTTATAGTATTGCAAGAGAACAGCTAAATGTTGAAGTATGCTTCCCTTTATTTATATGAAGAATACTGTTGTCCTGTTTTGTGTACTCTATACATTGATCTTTAAATCATATTAAATGTCTTGGTTTTTTGATGTCTCAGTGTTCACTATGACTTGAAAAAGTTACATCACAATCTCCAACATGTGTTATCCTACTGCCCCTCAGCTGATAGGAATTCTCTTTTTGTTCCAGGTGCTCTGCAGCACATATAAATGCTAGTAGCTCTGACAATTAATGCAAGCTATCCCATAGTTGAGTTGGAAGAGCTTTTCTCTTTTAATAGCACTATTGATAAAATAGTAAACCAGAAAAATGCTAGAGATAATACAGCCTCTAAGAGCTTACACTTTTATATTAGATAAGAATATAAACTTACAGCTGAAATGATACAGCAGAAAATTATTTAGGATACAGAGATCATATGCAGGTATTGTTCCAAACAAGAAGACAGGAAATAAGCATGAAGTGAGGAGGGTCAAGAAAATGACATTTTTATCCATATGTTTTTCTCAAGATATTATTGTAAGCTAAAAGACTAAAAAAATTTAAGTTACACATTCAGGATCCAAACTTTCCAATTAGTTTAAAATAATAATTTTTTTCAACTTCAGACTGTCCCAATGTCACCAGTGGTTGTGCACCAGGTTAGTGATGTTTCTCATCAAATGATACTTGGATCTGCACCTCAAATTATTTCCTTTCCAATTAATTCAATCTCCTTCCCTTAGAAACTCTAAGCAACAGCTACAACAACAATAATGTAAACCAAAGTGCAGTCAAAATACACAATGAATAATTAATGTGAGAGGAAGCAAAAGACTCTAGAAGAAAAATGTAGCAGACTCAAAATATTTATCGTGAAGAAGAAAAGACAGAGCTGACACAAGCCCAAACCTGCAGAGATACAGAACCAAGGTCTCAGAGTACCAGAAAGTCACTGAACATGGATTTCACAAACCATTGTTACAATAGCATCTTTTAAAACACATAATAACGCAAGAAATACAAACTGCAATCTTGTTTAAAAAGGGATTTCCTTGCAACCAGAAAAAAAAAAAAAAGAACCACCCAAAATTCTGGTTTGGACCATTAACTTTGCTTTATAGGATACAAACTGAAGCAGGATAGGAAATACAGGGTGGAAAACTGCAACAACTTATCAACTGGAAATCGGGTGTAATAGCAGAGTGACTCATAACAGCATGGAGAAGTTTGGAAGGATGCGAAGAGACATGTTTTGACTGTGAAAATGCCTTGCGTGTTAAATGTAAGGAGCTGTTTGTCCCCAGAGTTGCACTGGGGATCCGGGCAGCAGGCACAGGGTGGAGAGGCACCCACAGCTACGACACAGTGACTGCTGGGGTCAGGAAACAGATTGACTCCACCAGTACTTCTAAAGACTTTTCTTTCCCCGAATTTTATTTATTGCCCCCCACCAGAGATTCTTTGGAAGCTCATCATATAAATATTTGCTTTGAAAGGAAATGTAGAAAACCAAACAAATAAACGAAAAATCCCAACAGCCCACCACCACTACCACCCTTCAGCCTTGTGAGCCTCAGGCTTTACTGCCTCACATTTTCCCTCAAGCCCCAGCAGGCTGCTCCGTCCAGACCATGACAAATCCAGTTCGTTCACCCACACCGGCTGCATTTCCTTTGGGAAATACTTCATGCATTGACAAAATAAACACTGTTGACTCATCCCAGCAACACGGGGCACACGCACATGCCTCCAGACACGCCAGGGATCCTCAGAGTTGCAGAACGCGCCGTATACAGTTACATTTTGGCAAGTCCTTTAAATTAGAAGCTCATCTCTGGCGAGTCCTTTTAACTAACAGTTCATCTCTCAGAGAGTCGGTACAAAACTCCTCCGCTACACAGCTGGGGGAAATTCTCGCTCATTCTCCACGTTTCCTTTCTAAATAATTTTCTTTTTTTTTTTCCCCTCTCTAAATAAAGCTCTTTGATAATCTTTGAAATTATGGGGGGCGGGGGGGGAAGCACAGCAACCTTGACATGCCACAGGGCTGAACCGCAGCCAGGACACCAAGCGGTAACTCCGCAGGCACCATTGAGGCGGCGCTGGTTATTTTATTACTTTATCCCAGCGTGACCTTGCCCGATAACAGAAGACCCTCCTGGGGCTCCGCTCCCTGAGGACACTCTGCACTCCCGCCCGGCCCCTCAGGGACGCTCCGCCATCCCCGCGCCTGCGCAGCGCCCGCCCGGCCCCATCCGGGTCCCGACGCGGCCATGGCGACGGTGGCGGAGCTCAAAGCAGGTCGGGGGTCGGGGGCGGCCGGGATGGCCGTGAGGGAGGACGGGGGTCCTGGCGGCCCGATGGGTTTCGGAGCTGCCCCTGGCGCTAAAGGGGCCGCCGCCCTTCGCCCCGCACAGCGCACTGCCCCCTCATGCACAGCGGGCTGTATTCCGCTCTGTCTCACCATTAAACACATCCTGCTCCAGTTATTCCTCTTCTGAAATTAGCGAGCGTGTGTTTACTACTAAAAAAAAAAAAAAAAATAATTAATTTGTGACTCCTCTGAAGGCTTAATTTTTGTCTGTGACGTGCCTGGAGCCGTTAGGCAGCGGCACGTGCCCAGGTGGAGATACCTTATCGCTGTCGCGCCGGAATTATGTTTATGCTTGGATGCGTTGGGCTCTGAATTAACAGATCTTTCTATGGTAATAGTTTTAAAGGACACGCTGGAAAAAAGAGGCGCTCTTGGAGAAATCAAAGCGAGGATCAGAGCTGAAGTGTTCAATGCACTGGACGACCAAAGCGAACCTCGGCCGCCGCTGTCCCATGAGAACCTGCTGATCAATGAACTGATCCGTGAATACCTGGAATATAACAGATACAAATACACAGCATCTGTTCTAACTGCAGGTACCGGGGATGACTTCCTGTCATCACTGTAATAATAGTCATTCATTGTTTGAGTAATTCCACTGATACTATGGAATTAATAAGCCGCACAATCTTGTTCTCCCTTGGAAATTAATGTGGTGCAAACAACCTCTCCACAGCTTTACTTGCAGCATAAAGCTAAATCATAGTCTTAGTTTTTGAGAAAACTTACACTCTGCTCCTTTCACTTAAGTTATATTGTTTATAGAGTAGTTGATGCAAGAGCAAGAAAATCTGCTCGCAGCCTGCAACAAAATACTTTTCTTGAAACATCTAATAACAGTACTTTAGAGAAAGACTTGTTTGCCTGATTAATTTATCTTTATACTGTAAGTCTTCTTTAATATTTTTCTTAGATCCTTTTAGAGTGAAGATAAAAATGGTAATGTGCTATTGCAAATTATATGAGTATGAAGCACTAATGTTATAAGTGAGTTCCCTGGATTTACAATATACTGTTAGTTACTAATTGTCTAAAAGGGAGGTGTGTGCTCTCCTGCTCTTTTGAAGTCTCCTGCTAATTGGTGATGTTTTTCTTACCAGTCTTAAGAATTTGGGGAAAATCTTTTTTCCAGAATCCGGCCAGCCTGAAGTGCCCTTGGATAGACAGTTTCTTGCCAAAGAGCTGAATGTAGTCGAAGACGCAAGTGGAAAATCAGTGTAAGGAGGATTTTTAAAATGCGCTGTATATTCTGTATATCAGTATATTTTTCTCTTTAGCGTTATTACAAATCACATATAAATGTTCTCACCAATTGAAATGTGACTAGATCACACACCTGGCTCTAACATGCTGGATTCATGGCAAACATGGGGCCATTTTCAAACATGCTCCAAACTACCATTTAATCCTGCCAACACCGTGGCATTCTCCAGATAGAGTCCTTGCACACCAAGTCTTTTACCAGCACAGTCTGTTTGCTACAGGAAACAGATATGTTCTTTGCATATCAGCGAGCTGCTTTGTAGAGCAATAAAAAGATTATTTTACTGTGAGATTAGATATAAAATTCACAGTGCTCTGATACAAGGGCATCAATGAGCTGAGGGCAGAAGCAGGTTTAAGCATGTTCAGCAGTCTCTGTAGTTTGTGCTGTCCCGTCTGTCAGGTGCTTAGGAAGGACCAAGTTTGGGGTGTGCAGTGGTGGACTGCTGTATAGCCCACCAAAATCTGATCCTTCATGACTGTGTGGATCCTTCTGATCCACAAAGGAGAGAATGCGGGTGTGTTCTTGTGCTAAGCAAACTCTGGTTCTTCACCTACCAGGGGATCTGCAGTTCAGTGCAGAGCATCTCCTATTCCAAGCTTTTTGGGGGAGTGTTGGTGTTCAGAGTGAGCTTAGGTCTGTACTTATTTATGTATTGATACTTGGCATAATGTATTTTATATCATTATAAAGACATCTGTACATATTCTAGAAGTAAGTATTATGGTCTAAGAAGTTCCAAGGAAAGGGTGTATTTTTAATTCTCAGTATTTATAGCCTCTATATAGACTACTTTGTAATTTCTCTCTTAAACAGACCTCTCCTGTATGGAATTATCTCTCATTTCTTACATGGTGGTAAAGAAGAAAGTACACACAATACCTTTCCAAAAGGGTCTTTGCTGAATTATCCAAAGCAGAATCTTATCAAACCACCTGCTGAGAGAAATCAAAAAGGTGGGTGCAGTGTCATTTTTGCAGAAACTTTCTTTGTGACTAGATTTCCTATACCATACATATGCATAGAGCAGCATAAACATGCAGATGGACACAGTGTATCTCCTTCTCTGTGTGAGGAATGCTTTGAACTGACACCTTTTTGTAAGAAAAGTCTTCAGCAGAACAGTGTTTATACTTGACCATACACGTTGCTCATGGATTCATTAAACAAAGTTCCTGCTTTATCCAGCTCAAGAAAAACCCATCCATGATTCCTAAAACTACCTGTGCCTTTGTTTAAACAAGTGACCACCTTACCCCAGCTCTCCATCCCCCTTCTCCCTGCCCATGTCCCAGTGGCACAAGACACACAGCATACAAATCCTGTTGCCCTTGGAAGTGCTGGACTGGCCTTCAAATGTGTCAGCAGTAGAACTTTCTCTGCTATATGGGAGTGTATTTTATTTAAAAGCAGACTTTTTAAAGTATTGCAGACAGCCAAATTGATAGAATTTTCCAGCACAGTACTGTGTTGCTTTTGTTACCTTGTAGTTACAGCTACTTACTAGTTTTTAGAGAGAAGGGATAAAAACTCATTGTTTAGCTTTATACCATTAAGATTTTTGGACTGTTGAAAACAGAAAGTTCATTTAAATTGGACAGCTGTGCTGTCCTAATTTGTAGATGGTAGAATGCCATTTATGCATTTAGAAACAGAGATTTACTGCTCTGCAGTTGTTTGTAAAGACGACTCCTCAGTATCAGAAAGGTCATACACCAGATGGCTTCACCATTTCCCTTAAACTGGCCAAATTGTACTCCCTTATACTATCACAAATATGAAAAGGGTCAGCTAAAGACAGTCTTACTACATTGGTGATTTAATACAAGGATTTAACATAAATTCTCAATAAAATATATTAAATAATGGGCATATCTCTGTTTCCTATCTGGTCTAACTTACCTAATTTCTGTAGAAAGTTCTTAACTCTTTAGCTGTCAGTTCTGTAGATGGGCATAAACCTTTTCTGAGGACATAATTCACATCCCACTGACCACAGGAGCTTAAGCCCTGAGTTCACTGCTCTATAGTAAACACTGCTAAATCTTATTTGCCCTTTCTGGTCTGCTTTCTGATTGGTTACAATTAATACTGCCTAAGCTACAGGATGAAAGGGTTCATTGGTCTAGTTTTTTCCTTCAGAGTCTGCTTGGCATATTGCTTCATTTTTTACTGTGAGAATTTAGTACTGTCCTGTTAGTACTATCAACTATTTGGTTTGTATCCAAAAATTTGAAAAATATGAGGCCTGAGATCACATAGACATCTAAAAAGTGTGAGAGAAGTACCAGCCCCCTTTTTTTAAACAATGCTATTTCCCTTCTGCCAGAAGAGGGGGCTGAAGAAATAGAATTTCCTTACCAAAACTGCTATAAATTTCTTCTTTGTTAGAAAAATAATGATTCCTATCAGAAATTTCTCCATTTTTAAAACAAACTTAGTGTGCAGAAGAACTGTTTTTAAAATATAACTTTGTCTGTCAGTTCTGAAGTTGTGACTCTGTGCAGGGTCGCCCTGCCCTGTTAACTCCAATATAACTTCACACAGAGATTCAATTGTTTACAGTTAGTTACAAATTCAAGATTAATCATATTTAACAAGTAACTTGCTCTTCATGTTAGAAATTGTCTTGCTTATTTAGGTGTATGACTATTCCAGCAGACTGGGGATCCTGATAAAACGTGGATTCTGTTGTTTCAGTTCATTCACTATAGCTGAGTTGGAAGTTGTCTGAAGTCTAATCTTGAGTAATGCAAAGCTTTTATCTCAGACAGGTGCATGGAAACATTTATTTGTAAAATTGCCTGGTTTTGATATTGTTTATCAAAGTTGATAATAATAGAAAATAACACACCTTTAGGTCTCCAAATGCATGAGAATATTTATGTCTGTGTTTCATTTTCAGACAGAATTCCAGAACCAGGAAGGATGGCTGGCACAAGCATCGAAGAGCCCCTTGTTTTACAAAGTATAAAGAGATGACATCTTTTATTCGCTAATTTCTCATATAAAGTTCTGTAAGAGTTAATTTAGGACATTCTTTTTGCATAAATTTCTCCAACAAATCCAGTGGGACCATTTCAGCTTGTAACATCTACCCATGAGACAAGGACGACGAGGTCATACTTACTGTCAATGAAAAAATGTTAGCAAAGGCTCTCCTCCTCCAGTGCTGGCAGAAGGAAAACTGTATAGGAAGTCACATCAATGAATCCTGTGTCTAGAATTTGGCTTGAAAATACTGGGTTTATCCAACAGATTTTTGTTAAGTAACTTACCATTTCTGCACTTTCTTTACTATGTTATGTCTTTGTGTGTTTTTCCTGTGTTTCTTAATAAAATTTTTCAATTTTATTCTGCGTGGTATTTTGAGAGTGTTCAAAGTAAACCTTCTAATCATCTTTTTGAAAAGGAGAAGCTGTTAATTTCAGATAAGTCAGGGAAAATAAATTTTAATCGAAAATTAAAGTCCTTTAGAGGGATAGTTGTTTTTAATTCTCCGGAAGCGAGGACTATATTTATCTTAATGCCACCAAACAAGTGAGGGTAAGTTTTTTTCCATCTGGAGTTGCTAAAAATTGTATGGTCTAACACTGGGTATATGGGAGGGGAAGGAATTTCTGGGTTTTTTTCCCAAACAACATGAAACTCAAAGTCAGGCAAAGCTAAAAATAAAGTTTATAATAGATTACTGATTCCCAGAGCTCTTTTTTAGCTGAGGTATTTACATGTTTTGAAATTTATTTTAGAAGCCAAACTTAGAGGAGTACATAAAAATAACAGGTCAGCTATTTTTTTTCACTACTCATTTTAACAAAATGTATCAATGTTAAATGTTTCCAGTGGTACTGAGAGGAATTTCATATAAATAAATTTCTAGGGTAAGGTTCCTAAAAACCTTAATCGTTACATAAATGGTACAGCGAATAGGGGGGAAAAAGAGAAGAAGAGAACGTGCAGTTTGTGAATTTGGAAGGACCCTGAGTTGTACACACTGTGAAGTTTTGCCTTTGTCTTGATTTGACCCAGTTAGCATTGCAGGTGTATTTTTATTTCTGCCAGGAGGCTCATCTGTGCTCTGAAACTGCAGAGAAGTTACGAGTTGAAGGGAGAGGCTGCATTTCTCCATTTGAAGCCTCAGCAGTGAGCTCATCTCCCTGCTGTGACTGGCAGTGCCCCTAGCTCTCCCTTTGCTCATTTGTGAGTGTCTCAGGACTGCTGCCAGAAGGGGAGGACGTGTTTGGAAATCAACCTCAAACAAACCCATCTGTAAGTCTCCT